ATCTCAGCTTTTAGGCACAGGCTTTTCAGGAAGCATGCTGTGAATGAATCCAGGTTAGACAAACACAACTCTGAGTGATGTTAAGAAAACAGCTGGACTCACTCAGTTCTTACTTCACTTGTTAGTTGCATAAATCCAAAAAACTACACAGCTGTTTTACTTCAGAAGTTTTACATTTTTAGGTGTTAACTGTAAGAACTGTGGCTAATATTAAATGCTGGTTATAATTTGTATGCATACAAATAATCCAGATTTCCTTGCAGATGTAAAACACAAAACAACTTACCGTACTTTTAGGTTTAAGCAAAGTAAGGAAATGCTTTACTTTTTAACTTGTTTTAACTTGTCACTTTTAAGGTACAGTGAATAATGCATGATTTGAAGTGAACTTAGGGGGCATTAAAATTATTGGGTTCAAATACAATAAAAACTGTTGTAATGTCTTTCACTGAATGAAAGCCAGCTTCCAGCGTGTGAATGATCAGACAGATATACTTCTTTTAATTTTGATCAAAGTATCTTAAGCAAGTTAAGCCACATCTTATAGTAAAAAAAGTTAAATTGCTTTCAACTCAATTGTAGTTTTGGTGGTACAGTAAATATATATTTCAAATTTAATGAGGAATAAGTGCTCATGCTTCAGAGCCAGCTGGAGACAGTGAGGGGAGTGGATTTCCTCCTGCCATGCCAGCTGGTGCACCTGTTTATGGTCCAGTTGAAAGGTTTAAAACAGGCATGGCAGTGGATCAGACGATGAATGGAAACAGCGTGCAGATCTTGTAAAGTCATTTCATTGTAGCAAGTGAATCAACTCAATGGCTGCACCTCGATGCAGAGAAAGGTGTGCTGACAGTTACCTATGATCTTCAGACTTTAAATACATGATTTTTCTCTTTCTATCTGCTGACAAAACCTAAATGATAAGACCATAACTGGAACAACTGGCTGCGTGAACACCTTGTCACAGGGCATGAACATCTTTAAAATATAAATTTATATTAAAAAATCGATCTATCCGCTCTGGTGTGGCGGGTGCCGGCGGGGCTGGGGGTTTACTGCGTGTGGTCATTAGAGAGACTCTCCCGGTTCTCCCCTATGGTCTGATCTGGGGAGTGGGTGGGCGGATCTTTCCGTGCAGGTGCCTCTGGGGGCTCTGCGCTCGGGATCCCTCTTGGGTCCTTGGGCTCTGGTCTTCCCTGTGTCTGCCTCGTGTCTTAGGGGTTGAGTCTTTGGTCCTCCACAGTCACTATTAAATATTCCATTGGAGAAATCTTGTATATACACGCATGTTCACAACCGCTCACAAACAACTGTTCTGATCCGGGGGGGTTCTGACTGGTCACTGAGTGTGTATATATGTCTGTGTGTATACCTGTATATCTACAGTATGCATAAATGTATGCATGTGCATATATCTATATATATGTATGAGTATATACAGTATATACTGTATATATGTATGTATGCATGCTTTACAGAGAAATTATAATTAATTTTATTGTTATATGGATATGTATTTTGTTGCTATGTTTTCTTGTATCTATTTATTTTCTGGTGAGCGGACAGATGTTGGGTGTGTTGCCTTGTGTGTTCTTGGTGTATATTTGATATATTTCTAATCTCTATTTCAATCTTTCTAATTGCATTTCCTCTTTTTCCCCCTTTTCCTATTTCCTCTTTTAAATTTAAAATATATATATAATATAAATCTATTAATTTTTTGTAAAATGTGAACGAAACGTTAGCCATGATGCTTTCACACTCTTTCAGTCTAACCTCCAAATGTGCAGGATTTGAATCTGAAAATAAGGGCAAAGTTGACTCAGCAGGTCATCTGCAATCTTTTCACTTTCTGAAATTCTTCCTACTTACTGACCTTCAACATTTTCCATCCTTACCTTCACACTCCCTCCTGCATCTCTCTGGAAACTCCTGACTAAGAAAACCTCCTTAATCTCTGGACCCACATCCTCCTCCGCAAGATTTCATCCTTTTATTTTCCCACCTAAAAGGTACATTCATCTAGAATGAACATCTCACTGTGAAGGCTTTAACACAACCTTGACTTCTCACAAGAGATTTCATGAAGCAGTGCAACTTTAAAGAACTATCAATATTTGCGGCTTGGACAGGCGATGGATGATCATACAGTCAAACATGCCAGTAAGTAGCGACAGACATCAAGTAGGGAGATTACAGAGGGAGCTGTGTCAATGTGTCAGTGTGTAAGTGTTTCCTCTGTCTCCCTTCATCCATCTCTCTTGCTTACTCCCCCCCCCCCTCCTCTTTCTGAGACAAAATGGCCAGATGGCTTCCAATCCTACATGCTAATCCACCAACACAGAGACTGTAGCTCGGAGACACCTACCGCAAGACTGCTGCGACCTTAAACACACGCCACACATGGGGCCACTGCGCATGAACTGCTAGCACGAGCTCCAAAGTCCACCACAACAATGGAAGCATAACTCAGCCAGGCTGAGCCTTCAACAGATGGAGGTTTCCTTCTTTGTGTTTTGTGTGTCCAACTATCAGATTTCAGGCAGTGCTGGTTAGCAGGCTACCGGCCAGGATGAGGCTCTGCTGCTTTTGTTAGGTGAGGTAAGAGAAGCCGCATGTGTTGGGTTTCACTGACGAGTGGAAAACATAGGAAGGCCTGGAACAGCACGCTAATACTCATGGAGACGATCAGACTGGCACAATGGGGGGAAAAAAGTTTCACATTGTTCCAGTGTACTAATTAGGTACACGTTTTCTCTGATTTGTGCTGACAAATTTGATACAGCATCCTTCATTATTGTTCCGCGGGTCCAGTGGAAGTAAATACTGTACATCCCAGAACAACTAGTAACTTTAAGTGAGTAGATAAAAAAGAAAGTACCGCAGGTTCCACATTACCTTTCAAATAAAGCGCATGAAATAATTTAAATATATTTTTTTCTTGAAGTATGAACAAACATAACAGAGTAAACAATTATTCTTCAGTGATAAATTAGAAGTTCATTTTCTATGTGCTCCTCTTACGTTTCAAATAAACTTTGTTCTTTCAAAAAATATATATACATATATGAATTTATTACATAGACATGAGTTAAACAGTCTGAAACAGCATTTGCATGAAAAGCCAAACCCCAATGAACAGCCTAGCACAGTTTACACAACAAACAATATGGCTTTTGTTTTAGTTACACAGAATAAGCACGAGGCGAGTCAGGTTTTTAATATTCTGTGTTCCTTCAAAGCTCATGAGAGGCACATTTGATCCACACAACTACAACACTGTTCATATATACACGACAGTCATCAACACAAAGATGCAAAACACTTGAATACTAAATGCCCATGTGATAAATGTTTATGGATGTAGGTGTGATGAACATATGTGGCATATGGAGCAGAAGTGTGAAGCTTAGCAGAATGACAGCGACTGAGACTGACTATTCTGATTATCCAGCACCGGTTTCACAGACCCACTAAACAGCAGGAAAGCTTAAGCATTGAATACTTCTGCTCTCATGGTGTATCACAACTCCTCAGAGCGACTGTTTGTCTGCCATCTGATTGTGACACTGCATTAGATTACTGCTGTAACCATGGTTTCCTTTCTGTCAAGCTCAGCTGGGTAATAAGTTGCACTGAAACTGAAGATTTAAGGCATTCAGTATATTTATGATTGTAAAATTGTCATGTTAGATTGACTGGATATGTCAAGACTGATTTTATATATATATATATATATATATATATATATATATATATATATATATATATATATATATATATATATATATATATATATATATATATATATATATATATATATATAAAACTTGAAGGGCAAAGTGTCAGATGGTCTGACAGATAAATTGGTTTTAAATGGACAGGATCTCAACTCATCTGCATCGATACAACGGGCCGATGCTCAAAGGGAGCAGCACCTTCAATAACCCATCCCCCAGTTTCCTTCTACCATCATTTCTCTCTCCCTCAGTCACTGACATGACTCCCTAACATGTCTCCTTCACCGCAGACAACAGGTCTCCCATCAGGCCTCACTTCCACCAGGATGACTGCGCTTCCTGGGAGAGGATTCTCCCCACTCCCTCTCTGCTGGCGCTGACACAACAACTGCATTAAGCAAAGGCAAAAGAAGGGGGAGATTGGACAAAATCAGTCTGCACCGCAGTCAGTTCCTCCATCCTCCTCTAACCAATGATGGAAGAATCCGAGACCAGATCAGCTCAGCTTTCACTGAACCAGCCCCCACCCCCACTCTGATCCCCCAACGAAGTCAGGTGACCAGATGTTGTATAGCTCCCTGTCACTACAGCCGCCATGAAGCTTCTGCCCTCGACCGTGTTAAAGCTGGGGCATTAAGAAGCGTCTCTTCCCAATCTGAGGAGGACATACGTGAGGCGGTGCAGATAACAAAAGAACATCCATCAGCATATTAAACATCCATCACACCCCCCACCCATCCAGAGCATCTCAACCATCCAGCGACTCCGGCTTTGCAGCCCCAAAATAGTGTTGCTTCTTTTTGGTATCAGTGTTACCTCTGCAGCTGCTGCATTTCTCCAGAGCTGCCCCACACACACACACACACACACACACACACACACACACACACACACATACGCTCACACACACAAGGCTCGTACAAATGCCACCATTGATTCCAACAGCTCCCCATCAATAAGGCTGCTATTTGTGTGGCACAAGGGAGTGTATACAAGGATGATGTGATGCAGAGGATGGCATAGGATGATATAAACCACATCCAGCCCCCTCGGATGCAGGCATCCATTTCCATTTGGCCCTGAGAGATGGGATGGACTGCTGATGAAACAGCTGCCTCCTTTAGCAGGGCAGAATGCAGAGTACAGGAAGAAAAAGAAGGCTACAAAGCACCCCTACATACACAGCCTCTCCCCTCCTCCTTCTCTCCTCTGCCTCCCCCTTTCCCCATCCCTTATTACCTTACACAGAGAGGGATTTACCTGAAATATGTCTTCACATTCTCCTGCTTAGTGTTGCTCCGATGGGCCTGGAGTCCAGGTAGCTTCATTGTCAGCCGTACAGTCCTAGTGACGGTTTAAAGGCAGGACTGCCATTYTCTCGTCAGACCAGTTCCTGACCCTAAAAGCAAGCTTGTTCGGCAGGCTGGATGCTTCACTGGCTGCTCACTGTTCCCTAGCCCATGATGTCATCCGCCCTGCTTCCCTGGTTGGCTGAGGGGCTGAATATTAATGCAGGCAGCAGGTCCAGGGGAGGAGGCAGGCTACAGGCAGACACAGTTGGTTTTCTGTTTAACAGACCAAACCTGCAGAGTAGGAAGCAAGAGGGGAAAAGGCATTATGTGTGAAGCTGAGGAACGTATTTTATTTTATTTTTTACTGAACTGACTTCCTGATAAAACAAGTATGGTGGAGGCTGGTAAAATCTGACACAACTATTGCACATTTATTACCAACAGTGGAATTATTTTTATCGAAATTGTAAACAAAGGCTTTAAAGTATTCAGTTTTGTACAAGAATTCCCTTAAACATTTAGGAACTTGCATCGATATTGTARATGTATATGAAGGTAGTTTAATTTATCTTTAAATAGGAAGAAGTACTCATGTTTTGTGCTATTACTGTTACCATGTTATGAACTGAAATTGTATTTCAAGATTATCTGAAAACCCGAGGGTTTGTTGGAAAATTAAATGKTGAATATTTAATTTTGGGGAAAAAATACTAGTTTCTGGGTCTTAAAATGTTAATGTACGAGTAGAGTCACTACAGGTTTTATGGATTAAGGAACTCACTTTTTAGTTTTATGGATTAAGGAACTCACTTTTTACATCAAGTCATGTTTGGTTTTAGCTTTTTAATGTACAACTGGTACAAGGTGCATACTTGAAGCAGTGTTTCCATGAAAAAAATACAATAGTTCCCTAAATTATTGATCGTTWATTTACTCACCTATTTACCTGCCCTCTTTTTTTTTAACAAGATGTTGTTTAAACATTTGTTTTTACAAAATGCAAATGCTTTATTTAAGGCATATAAAAGGTGGCCTGGATTCAGAAGCAGGTGGAGACAAGAAACAAAATCCTCTCTGCGTTTGCCCTCATTTGCCTATGATGTCATCTTTTTCCTCTGTCTCACCTGTGATTGGCTGGTTGTACCAGCATCTGCTCAGTCTCATGGCTAAGGCTTCTAGCTCAAGGTGGAGGCCTATGAGGCTCCCTGAATCATGGCTGGTTGTCCTGACAACCCCTGTAATGTCGATTCCTTGCCGGAGAGGAATATGGCTGTTCTGTGACAGCGCTGACTCAAATGGAGAACGTACCGATTGCAAGATTACAACGTCCTTTATAATACGTTTGGTGGCCTTTTTTACTTTTTTAGAACTAACTACAATCATATCTTTTGAGAAACTCTGGAAAATTAGCTTTTAAATTCCCAAACAAAGAAAAAATGAAATATTATAACAATGTTTTCTCTAGATTTTCAGATATTTAAA